TGTCATGGTGGTCCAGGAGGCCCACAGGTGGTTAGACCTAGCCTGACCAGATTGCCTTGCACGGTTGGTACAATGGCCAAGTGGGCTGCAGACAATCTGAGGTCTACTTGCAGGCAGTACTTTCTCACCAAAACCCAAAGTTTCTCTAAAAGAAGTCCTGTGGGACAATACTATGTTATCTATTGAAAAGCAAATTATCTCATGAGTCAAATGATCAAAAAGTTGTAGGGCCAAACTGTCCAACTCCCTGAATTCAGTGAGCTAAACTAAGAGAGGGAATGGGGAAGACCAGGGCTTGACAGTTTAGTATCTGCATTCAAGACACTATCTGGGGGCTCAGTTTCAAGAGCTATGTGATAGGTGAAAATTACATGAAATTCAAATTTTATTGCCCATAATGTTTTACTGGCACACAGTCACATTCATTTATTATGCTGTATCTTATTTCTGATGAATGAAGAATGTGGAAAAATATTTCCAGCCCTTCAAAACATTTTTCAAAAAACTGATGGACATTTAACAAAATTACAGCAGGAACTATAACACATCTGATTGGCAGAAAGATCTATGAACTTGAACCTTTAAACTTTCATAATTGCTGTCACAAACTGCTCATTTAATAATCTGTAAGAACCACAAAAATTATATAAAGTAAAATTAGCCCATGAATGTTAAGTCTGTTAGTCTTCAACACAGAGCAATAAGTAATAATTTAATTTGCTTTATCCTCTTTTTGCTTCCTACTAATTTTTTAATTCACCTCAACCAATTTTTGCCCTTAAATATGTCTTAATATTCTTACCATTTTTAATTGAACCACATATATGTACAAGACAATGTCTAAAACTGGGTGAAGCAAAGGAGATTAATAAATGATTATGAAAATCACAGTACCTGAAGTTGATCCTCTATTCTGTGTCATCAACATTTAACATACATTCTACCCCAAGTTGGAATTTTACTTGCACAGGTAACACTTTATAACACCTACCAGGCATAGTTGTTTATACACAAAATCAACACTATGAAGGAACTTGGGTGTCAAAAAGTAAAAAATCAAAACAAAACAAACTTGGATATTCTCGTTTAAAGGAAAGATACAAGATAATACTACCACTTCACCACTTGCAGAAAGAAAATAGCATTGACAAAGCAACGTGATTTGAATGTGACACTACTAATGATATTATCAACCAAAAAGTTATAATGCTCACTGAGATCACTTAAACCAGAATAATCACATTAAACAGAGATGACAAAAGCTATCATCAATAGAATATGTGGGCTCATTTATAAAGAAACAGTCTGTTGTCCCTTTTTAATATATAATTTATATAGATAACTTCAAATATAGTCAGAACAAAATGTTACTAAAACACTGCTGTATAACAAAGACTGCTAATGTAATTTAAAAAAACTGAATGATCTGAAAGGCAGGGTGGTTGTGGGGGAGAGGGACAAAAATAATCAATCCTCCATCCACTGGTTCATTACCCAGATGGTCTCAACAACCGGAATTGGACCGAACTGAAGCCAACAGCCAGAAACTCCATCCTGATCTTCCACATGGTGGCAGGGTCAATGCGTTATATTCCTTCCTGAGCATATTAGCAGGGAGCCGGATCAGAAGCCAGGGGCCCCAATATAGGATATATCTGTTGATATGTGATGCTGACATTGTTAGTGGTGGCTTAACCCACGCTGCTACAATATGAGGTCTGCTAATAAAATTTTAATAAAAGAAAAACAGTGTCTGCCAAATCTTCCAGAGGCCTACACAGAATTTTGATGATTCTTTCAGCAGACCAAAGTTTTCTGCACAACAAACTGCTGGGCTGGGATCTCCAAGACAGACTGTGAAATATTAACACTTAAATGGCTTATGAAGAAATACTTAATAATTGCCTTCTACATACCTAAATACTATTCCAGGCTCTAAGCACAAGATAAACAAAACCCCTGTTCACATGAAGCACATTCTAGCATGAAAGATGTGTTACTCATTTAACAAGTAACACACTAAAAGCCCTGCTGACAATTCCAGGAAAGCAGTAACATAATTAGCTAGTGACCATAGACTAGTTAACCAGGAAAAGTCCAAGTAGGAAATATGAACTAGTTCTTAACATTAAGGCAACACAGAAGGGAATAGGAACAGGCGTTGTAAACGGCTCAGACAGAAATGAGCCCGGACTGCTGAGGAACACAGCGAAGTCTAGTGTGGCAGGAATGCCGTAACAGAACATACCACACAGTAGTATAAGATCTCGCAGATCACTGCCATGGTAAGGTGATCAGTTTTATTCTGTTACCTGTGGGTGACATATTGGAACTTAAGCAAGAATATCATCTGACTTCTTTAAAAGGATTGGAGGTGGTGGGTGGGACAGGGACAGGGGTGGAAACTGTGAGGCAGTGGGTGGTCAGATTTCCTGGGGTGGCAGCATCTCCTATCAGTGCTGGGCTTGAGTCCTTCCACCAATTCCAACCTTCTTTCCTGATAACAGGTAGCACATCATGACCCAGGTACTAGGTCCCAGCCATCCATGTGGGAAATCTATGTTCCTGGCTTCACCTTGAGCCAGTCTTGACTGTTGAGGGAATTTGGGGAATTAATCAGAGGCTGTAGAATCTCTCTGTCTTTCCTTCCTACCTTTCAGAGAAGCCTTTAAACACATAAAAGTACTGAGAGGTTCTCAGACACCCCTTGGAATGCCCGTATTGCACACTGGAGTAGCTGGGTTCAAGTCACCACTCTGCTTCCAGTTACAGCTTCCCACTACTTGGAGGCAGCAGCTAACAGCTCAGGAACTTGGCTGCATGCCGCCCACATGAAAGATCTGGATTGAGATCTGGCTCTTTTCTCTTGGCCTTTCCCTGGCTATGGCAGGCATTTGGCTTTCAAATAAATTCTAAAAAGAAATTAAAATTTTAAAGGATCAATTTAGTTGCTGAATAAGAGACAAAGAAACTGGGAGACTCTGTCTATAGTGCCAGTACCCCTGTGGGCACCAGCTCAAATCCCAGCTGCTACACTTCTGATTCAGCTCTCTGCTAAAGTGCCTAGAAATGCAGAAGATGAGCCAAATGTTTGGGCTCCTGCACCCACATGGGAGACCCGGGTGAGACTCCTAGCTCATGGTTTTGGCCATTTGGGAAGTGAACCAGCAGACAGAAAAATCAATTTCTGTCTCTCTTTCTCTTAAATCTGCCTTTGAAATAAATATATCTTTAAAAACAAAAGAATGAAAGAAACTGAGAGCCCTAATAGGAACCCACCACACTAAAAGAGAATGGTGTGCACTCTGATGGAGAGAACAAAGGAGAAAAATGAAAAAAAAAATAAAAAAGACAAGAACATCCTTTCTAGTACCTGCTAGATGAAACATAAGAGGGAAAAGAAATAAATGCATACTGTACTATTTACACTGTGAAACTGTGGAGTTGATAAGGAAGTGTGGGGAGAAAAAGCAAGTTTGGAGTATAATTTGGTAGCTGAGCCTTGTTCACATGAGGTCTTTTTGTTAAATAACTGAGGAAAAATTTCGAGAAGCTAGCTAGGCACGTGATTCTTGAACTCCAGGATCATTGCTGAGTTACTGGCAAAGAGAAAGGTCTCGGAATCCAATGGCAAAGCTCTGAGCATCCAATGGTTTTAGAAGGAGAAACTAACTTTGGAAGACTGAGATTTCGTAGACATACTTTGATTAAATGATATACGTAAATAAAGGGTTTTAACCATAAGTCTTGCCAAATAAATAAAGAATTTTTCTTTTAGAGACAGAAGTCTTACATCTGAAAATTATAAAAATTATCAAGGTCAGTGTTGTGGCTTGGTGAGTGAAGCCACTCCCTGCAATGCCAACATCCTGGAAGAGCTCTGGCTCCCTGTTCATGTGCCTAGGACAGCAGTGGGAGCTGCTCCTTGGGCTCCTGCTATCCACATGGGGGAACGGGATGAAGCATCCGGCTAGACTCAGTCCCCAGAGTAGCAGCTGTTTGGGGAATGAATGAATAAATGAAAGATTTCTCTCCCTTTCTTTGTGTCCTTCTTCTCTGAAATGGTGACTTTAAAGTAAATACTTTCTTGAAAAGAAAAATACAATAACTATTATGAAAAAGTAAACAGATTCTGATTTGTTTGCCTACAAATGAACCACATCTCATCATCGTACTGAGAAACATAATTTCTCAATGCCTCAATTTCCTCATCGTAAAATGAGATAATGGTAACTATTTGTGAAGATTAAAAGAGCTACTACATGTAAAGCTATCAAAGTAGTATCTGGCAGATAATAATCATTTAGCAATTTCAAACTTAATTATTACCTAAAGTCCTAATCTAATAGGATGCCTTGTAAGAGATGGCATCAAAGAACTAGAATGAGGGGCCAGTACTGTCATGCATCACGTTAACTCTTGATGTGCAATGCCAGCATCCCTTATGGGCATTGGTTGCAGTGCCCTGGCTGCTCCACTTTCAATCCAGTTTGCTGCATACATACCTAAGAAAGCCGCAAACAATGACAGAAGTGTTTGGGCTCCACAGTGACAGCCCCAGGGGGCGAGGGGCTAAGGGAAGAGGAGACCCCGCGGGAGTGCGATTCCCACACACCCCACAGCCCCGTGACCCACCGCCACAGTGACAGCCCCAGGGGGCGAGGGGCTAAGGGAAGAGGAGACCCCGCGGGAGTGCGATTCCCACACACCCCACAGCCCCGTGTCCCACCGCCACAGTGACAGCCCCAGGGGGCGAGGGGCTAAGGGAAGAGGAGACCCCGCGGGAGTGCGATTCCCACACACCCCACAGCCCCGTGACCCACCGCCACAGTGACAGCCCCAGGGGGCGAGGGGCTAAGGGAAGAGGAGACCCCGCGGGAGTGCGATTCCCACACACCCCACAGCCCCGTGACCCACCGCCACAGTGACAGCCCCAGGGGCTGAGGGGCTGGGGGGCTCCCGGAGAGGAGGCCCCCCGGCAGTGCGGGCACACTAGGTACCTGGACTGCTGGCTGCTCCTGCCGGCTGGTTCTTCCACCACTCGTCTCCAAGATCGTCTGCCATCCCTTCTCGCAGTTCCAGGCCCAGGAGAAAGCAGCCGGCGACCGGCAGCCACACTGCACGCGGAGCCTGCTCCACACACCGTCGCCTCCGCCCCGTAGCACTGACGTCACAGGTACGCCCCGCCTCCCAGGCAGCTGCGCCCGGAAGAGTTGCAGTTTCCCCACAGGCGCCTGTGGGCTGGTTCAGTCTGAAAAAGCTAAATAAATCCCGCAAAACAGAAATAGAAGAAGAAACAAAAGCTCCATAGTACTATCATTTAAGAAATTGTGTTGTCAAGTTTTTTGGGGAGGGTTTGGAATTTTATTGTTCCCGGAAAGATAATGCCGAAAGTGCGAGATGCAATCGTAAGACAACTTTCCTCTGTTCAGTTTCAAAGAACTTTCCCCGCGGGAGAAGACCCGAGCACGAGGGTGTGTTTTCTCCCGGGTTGGGCGTTTGCGCGTCTGGCTGTGCTGCTTTCTCGTGGCTTGCACGGGAGTTCAGGACCGTGAATGTCGCGTCTTGAGCGTAGATGTGGCTATTACCTTGTGTAGCTGCTATGAGTAGATAAAACTTGATTGGTCAGGACACCACAAATGGACCTGTGTCCTGGGGACTTGAGAATCTCCTTTTTGTTACCTGGCAGTTTCGTTTCCTCCGTTTTTGTGAAGTCTCCAACTATGAATGGGTAAGAGAATCACAGTGCTGCCTGTCTTACTGCCAGTGTGAGAGGCAGAGTGACAAGGGAAACGTCAAAGTGACAAGGCAGGAAACCTTGATCTTAGGAAAATTCAGTTAGCGATATGTGGAAAATTGCCAAAGGCTCCCAACTCATAGGCAGTTTAAAAATACATTTAAAATCAGACTTTATCAGGGTATCTCTTATACGCCCTAAAAAGAAAGATAGCAGATCTGCATGTGTCAGATGTAAAATGATTTGTAATCATTAGAAGCATCTTACCTTTGGTGCGAAAGTAGATGACAGTCGATTTCAGTGGTTGATAGACTGTGGAAAGGATAGTTAGAGAAGGAATACTGGAATGTTGGAAGAGGGGCTATGGCCAGTAAGTATATGTTTTTAAAAAAAAAGTGCTCAGTCTCATTGTTAATTTGAATACAATGAAACGAAAGTTGCCAAAATGAGTGATTATTTCCATGCGATAAATGACAAATCTGGCTATGCCAAATTGTAGACATTCTGTAATACTGGGGATTCTTACGTTTTACTTGTGTAGGTGTAAATTGATTTAGCCACTTGGAAAAGCATTTTGCCATGATCTTGTAAAGGTGAACATTCATATACCATCTGGTTCAACAATTACATTCTTGTATATTTCCATATACCTTTGCCAGGAAACTAAAAAATGCTCAATGTAACACTTATTTTTTTAAAGCTGTCATCCCATTCTCTGATATTTTATTTATTTGAAAGGCATAGTTAGAGAGAGAGGAAGAGACACACAGAGAGATAAAAAGAGATAAAAGCCTCCCATCTTCTGGTTCACTGCCCACATGGCCACAGTGGCCAAGGATGAGCTGGACTGAAGCCAGGAGCTTCTTCAGGGTCTCCCAGAGGGGTGCAGGGGCTGAAGCCATTGAGCCACATTCTGTTGCTTTTCCAGGCACATTAGTATGGATTGTAGCAAACGGATTTAAACCCACAATGCCACCACACCAGCCGCAAAGCAACACTGTTAATGATAGTAGAACAGTAGAAGCAACCCATAAATGCTTTTATAGAAAAATGTATAACTAAATATAGCCTAGTCACATGATTAAGCAGAGCAAATGAATGAATACACATAATAGCATAGATCTTACTAATGTAATGCTGACTGTAAAAAATAAAGTCCTGGTGCCAATTTTTATAAAGCTCAAGTGATAAGACAGCTTAAAATATACTCAGGCAAAAATATGTAGTTTTGGATTTTAAGGTAAGAGAATGGTAAAAAACAGATCTATGATATGAGTTGGGGTAGGAGAGTGGTCAGGAAAATGGAATTAGGAAGGAGAATAAAGGGAAAACAGTGTTGGCAAAGGTCCAATTGTAAGGTATGGTGGAGCATTCACAGGTATGTAGTAAATTATGCTTGATGTATGCATGTATCTGTTAGCATCAAATTATCACTTATATATATTTAAAGACATGGGAAACGGTGTATCTACATGTGCAAACCAATAAAAGTTGTGAGGAAATTTAGTTAAATTCAGTGTTGTTTCCCAAGGACTCACAAAGAATTCCAATTCATGGCTTTACTTCTCCATGGACACTCAAAGCCACCAGTCTTGCTCCTTTTCCATGTAAATTCACTTTCTCATTAACCTTGACGTTATCACTCTTCCTCTTGTGTCCTGGGTGTCCATCCCTTTTACCTTCTAGCCACCTCCGCTTCAGTGTCAAAAAGTGACAGTGCCATCTACCTGGTACATTTTCATTTGGTTCACTGGAAATACTGTCCACATCTACATCAAAATATGCCCGAGGTCCAACAATTTAGCTGTCTTCATCCCTTCTGCTACTACATCCTTGATCTGAGACACATCTTGGGAAGCCTTCATAAAAGAGATGGCATTTGAGTTTGACCTTATCAAAAGATATCAATAAGTAGAAATGGCTAAGGTTAATGATGGTTCCTTGGCAGAATAATTAGTGTCTTGTTCTGTATAAGTCACTACCTTTGTTGGGCTTCACTTGGCTGTAAAAGAAATTAGATGACTCCTGTGGCCTGTTTTGACTCTATGCCATGATTAGATCATCTGCTACTTGAGGCAAGGATCTGATGGAAATATTGCTTTAGGAAAGTGAAATTGGTGTCACAGTGTAGGATAGAGAATAGGTTTTGAACAAAGTTTCCCACCAATAAGACTAAGGCAAGAAACTAAATTTTCTCCTCTTTTGAGCCTGAAGAGTGCGTCATCTGCACTCCAGTGCTGCACAAATACCACTAATTTCTATGAATGCGATGGATCAGTATGGGGGAGAGAAATTTCCAAGGCTCACTATGAAAAGGGCCTTATTGGAACAGGAGTTCTTAGTGCATGAACTAATCTATAAATGTACTTTAGGGAATCCTGTGGGACATATTTAATTTGGGACATTACAGATACCTTTCTAATTTCGATCTTGATTTATCTTGTCGTAAGTTCTGTGACATGCTCCCTTGGTGAAACCTACCTGCCACTCTCTAACCTTGTATACCTAGACAGTTGCCACAAAATGTTCTTAACTCTGGCTTTAGAATTGGGTTCAGCAATTTGTAGATATCAGTAATACATCAAAGGATGAGAGAAAAATTACCTCCTACCATTTAGTCATCATTTCAGTGCTGGACTAGGGTACAGCATAAAAGGCCTAGGACACCAAATTTTCGTTTTTATTTGAATATTAGAGAGCTGAGAGACAAATACAGACATATGTAGAGAGATCTTCCATCCTCTGTTTACTTCTCTTGAACACCAATTTTAAGGAAATTCGTCCAGGTTGTCTGCCATGATTCTAAGAGTGAATAGCTTCATAAAATATTGCATCCAGAAGCCCCCACTGACCTCATCCTAGGTTTAGCCTTGGTCGGTTTATTGAAAGCTTCCACTTCAACTCAGCAGCTCTCTCTCTTTTTTAAAATATTTATTTATTTATTATTACAAAGTCAGATATACAGAGAGGAGGAGAGACAGAGAGGAAGATCTTCTGTCCAATGATTCACTCCCCAAGTGACTGCAACAGCTGGTGCTGTGCTGATCCAAAGCCAGGAGCCAGGAACCTCCTCCAGGTCTCCCACATGGGTGCAGGGTCCCAAGGCTTGGGCCGTCCTCGACTGCTTTCCCTGGCCACAAGCAGGGAGCTGGATGGGAAGTGGAGCTGCTGGGATTAGAACCGGCACCCATCTAGGATCCCGGCACGTTCAAGGCAAGGACTTTAGCCACCAGGCCATGGCGCCAGGCCCCAACAGCTTTCTTATAATCCTTTCATTTACTTCTAGTAATTGCTCATCTCCTTGCTGACATTAAGCAACCTCACGATTAGAAGTTCTGCAGTTCTGTACCATCTCTCATTACTCTAACCCTGCCCCATGCTACTGAATGTTCTCTTGTCAAATTCTCTTTAGTTATCCAGCTTAAAGGCACTTTCTTCCTCTCAAAACCTCAACTGATGCAGTTTGTCTTAGTTTGTATTCTCCTCAGAGGATAGCCTTTGACATGGGCATGAATACACATGGCATCTTCTGGAAGTGATCCTAGGGGATCGGAAATAAGGAACGGAATAATAAGACAAAGAAGGAAGGTTGAGCATGGGACTGGTTATTGGAAGCCAACAGGATCATTATCCTCTGAAAAATGAAGTAGAATGTGCCTCGGAATCATTCTTACCTACACTAGGAGACCAGGAAGTGTGCTTGTGGAGTGTCATCCATCACCGGATGAGTGTTGTCCCCAAGAGTGTGAATTCCCAGAGACTTCCTGGCTTGCTACCTATGGAGAAAGCCCTGAGGCAAAAGATTAGGGCACATACTTCCACATGCCCAAATAGGGATGGTGGCTTCATGTCTAGAACTTTCTCCCATGTCTGGGCTAGTTTCATATTAGGCAGGGAGAGAGAGAGAGAGAGAGAGAGAGAGAGAGAGAGAGAAGCACTTCTATCCACAGTTTATCTCCCCAAGTGACTGCAGTGACTGGGGCTGGGCCAGGTTGAAGCCCAGCACCTGAAACTGCACACAGGTCTTCTATTAGGAGGGAGGAATACAAGTACTTGGGCATATTCTGCTGTTTTCTCAGACATTACCAGGGAGCTGAATATGAAGTGGACTTGAACTGATGCCTACATGAGAGGTTGGTATGCAGGTGGTGACTTAACCACCCATGCCATGCGCAGACCTCAGTAATGATCTTGAGAGTACTGCATTGAGAGCAATGCATTGAATTGGATAGGCGTGGTTATTGATCCAAGACCATTTTCCATTGGCTAGTGACAATGTCCTTCCACACTGTAGTGTGCTATGTAAATGTAACTTGAAGCTTGAGACAAAGATGTGAGATCTACCTTGGTAAATTATTAGGAAAAGGGTTAGGAAGCTCAGCACAGTGGGCCTTATGGGGTGGTTTTATTTTGCCTGACCACAGAACT